TGCCGCCTGCCCGTCGTGAGGCGGTGCGGGGCCGGGTCCCAGCGCCTGGCTCCGGAAAGAGCGAAAACGACTTCGCGGCAGCGAATGTTGGGCCGAAGGGAAGGGGAAGGGAGGCTTTGGGGGAAGCAGACTGTCCCGGGGTGGGAGCGGAGAGCTTTGGGAAGGCGTTTACCTGTGAGAAACCGCGAAGACGGAGAGAGGGACAAAAGGGAGGGAGAGGAGGGGAGCCGGTGTCGGGAGGAGAGCTCGGAGGTGACCAAGGAGGCACCTCCGCAGGGTTTTGTCGCTGCTCTGAGGACGCTGAGGCAGCAAACGGCACAAAAGCGCTCGTTGTTTTACACAGGGGAGGACGGGTGTCCTAAACCAAGGGCTCCGCTACAGGCAAGTCTGAGGAGGGAGCAGCTCTGGTGAGCGGTGGCGGGAGGTCAGCGCCAAGGGGCTGTGTCTGCGGCCTGTCCGCTGGCTGAGGGGGCCGGGGCCTGCACGGCTCCGTGGCCGAGGCTGGAGCCTCCAAGCTGTGAAGCGTTCAGCACTGTAAAACCACGGGAAGAGTTCAGCAGTGTAAAACCGCAGCTGTACTGGGCCTTCCTGCCACTTTCAGTAGCGCGTAGGCTTGGCCAACCCCACGTCAAGGCGGTCATCCAGCAGCCCTGCTGGGATCGCCATACACGTTGATGTATCGCACTGGAAAAATTGTAGTTGAGGTGAAGATGAAGATAGTGTCTGAAAATGGCCGTGCTTATGGCATTAGGACATGCGTTGTAAAGCTCTCCTACCCACACTGGCAGTGTATTTGCTGTCTGTGAAAATTCCTCTCACAAAGCAGACTATCTCACTTGCAACATGACAGCGAAGCAGCACAGTTTGGCACAGCTTCAGCATTTGAGCAAAAATTTGGCATCTCGGTGTAGTATCAGATTAATAAGAGGTTAACAAGGCCCCAGAGGTATAAATGGTATCCTCCAGATGCTGATTAAAACAAGGATGAGCTTCTGAAATTTGGACCAACTTAGACTAGTCACCGTGTATGTGTAGATTAAAAGAATTTCAGTATAAAAAGTAAAAAAGGTTGATTTTTGGTGTTACGGGAGGAAGTAATGCTCAGAACAGTCTTTATTGTTTGGGTATCACAGGACAACTAAAGCAATCTGAAAAGAAAGAACAGTTACTGCCGTAGACAACATAGCCAGGGAATATTTTCACTGCTCGGTAATAATTTTAACATTCACATTTTAAGTCTCAGAAGAATGGAATAATATTATTATGCATTTCTATACTGACTTGTTTACAGTACCCCTGTTCCACTTCTAGCAAGTGTTTTCTTTTTAAAATGGAGAAGATCCAGAGACAGGCAATGAAGAAGACTGGATGAATGGAAAGGGTGGTGTACAAGAAGAGAATGAAAAGTTTGATCTTGTTTACAGCTAAGGTTAATAGGAGGAGAACAGACTTAAAACAGTAGGTCAGCTGGAGAATATACGTGGGACATTCAGATTTACTCCCATTGGCAAAGAATAATTACATTGAATGGCAATAAGTGATGCAGGGAAATACTTTCCTTACCAAAACTAAGAAATCAGCTTTCAAAGAACTATATATCACATGCATAATGGGAAAAGAAATATCATTTATATTTATGCCTATTCTAATGGTGATATATGCATCATTCTTCAGTGTAGCTGGTAGCCAGTAATTGCTTAGAGTTAGAAGAATCTTGTGCCCCTATTGCAAGTTCATTCTCATGGTGTGCATGGGAATAAATCACTTTGATTTATTCACTTTTTCATGACCTAAGTCACATAATGATGGTGTTTATAGTACACACAAACCCCCTCCTAAAATTGTTAATTACGAAAGTCATACATATATCGGGAATCTAAGTCCTTGAACCTCTTAGCAGTATTCTTCTGGCTGTTTTATTTGTATTTTCAACCCAATGATATCTTAATTCAGTATTAAATCACCTTTGGGAATACTCTGCCATCCTTGAAATTTCCATGTGAAAGAGTTCCTGTCTGTCTGGCCTTTCATCTTTGCTCAGCAAGAGCCATTTCCAAGAGCTTCTGCTCGTTTCACTTTTCTGTTTCCAATACCACACCAGAAAGGTGGGAGACCACACAGCTGTTTCTGGTCTGTGACATGCATTTGTCATCCGTTTTTTTTCTGGATTGTATCTCTGGAAACCGCCAGGTTTCAAAGAGAAGGCCTGTAAGCACACTGAGCTTTGCCTGATCTGCTTGAGTAAAACACGCTTTGAAGCATCTGGTGCTTGATATCCATGAAGGCAAATAATTGAGCTGAAACACAGCCACAATCTCTTACAGACTCCTCGTGCAGCCAGTTTGAAGGAAATGGCCAGAAGAGTATCGTTAAGCCAGGATGAAACATCCACGGAGGCCAGTTGCATGGAGCACTAAAGAGAACATCTCCCACGCAATCTTCATTTTTCTGGAGTAGAAGACTTACTGCCTTTTCGGAGGTCAGTTTGTTATCCTTGGAACTTGTCATTCCATATTTACAGACAAAGCAGTTGCAAAGGCGCTGGCAGAGGAGACGCATGTTTTCTTTCCCCTGCCAGAGGTGGGGGAATGGGATGCTTTTTGCCTGATACATTTTACATATGTTAATGAAGCTTGTGTGTCTGGTATCTTTCCTCACCTGCCTTTGGAAGATAACTTCCTACAGCAGAGGGATCCCATCCCATCTCACGCTTTCATGGTAGAAGATTTTTGTGCTGTCTACAATATAAGAACATCTGACTCCCCACCAAAAACTTCATTTGAGTGCTGTCAGTCAGTATTTCTGAAGCAGTGACACTACCGTCTCAAAAAATGTAGTACAGCGCTGCAAATGTTATTACAGTTGCTCTGTCTTTCCACATCCTTACTCTTTAATGCCAGACACAAGAGCAACACAGGCCTGCTGGCATCACTGGTGTGGTTTTCACTCTGACTTTGCGTGAGCTGTTATATCTGAGCAACATTAAGATATTTGCCTGTACAGCACCCGTGAAAGGAGGCTGTTC